TGATAAAGCACTTGCATATGATTATGGAGAGTCGTCGGGTAAATGAATGTTCAGGTCCTGAGCTGATTATGCCAGAGAGAGACTAGCTGAAAGAAGGCAGGAAGCCAGGATGAGTTCAATATGCAGCTGTTGCGGTAAATACAATTGTAGATCCATGGAGTTGAGTGTATTTGAGAAAGAAGGCCCTTGGCCTCGTCTAGACTAATTTTCTGCTCATAAAAGCAACTTCAACATGTTTTTATAGTTCAAGTTAAAATTGTTTTTCAGCAGTTGTTCCGGCCAGCTCTGCTGCTGGCCACATAATTAAAGAGTCATTTGGGCGCATAATCCTGGCTTTCAATAAAGCGCCGCAAAAGTATTAAAAAGTAATGCCAACATATTAGCTGGAAATCTCATAAATTATGCAACGAAATGACCTGTCAAGTCGCGCCTGCTGATCCCTGGACCGCCCCAGAGCGCAATTCTCTCAAATAATAATAAAAATAAAAAATATCAAAAAAAAAAAAAAATGCAAAACTACTGCAGCAACAAAATATGGCTGCCATTTGAAATGAAATCGAAAACACAACAAGCAGCAGAAAGGGTAACTAAAATACATTTTACAACTTCATTTTTACGAGCGCGCCAAAGTTTGTTGGGGATTTTCTGGCGAAAAAAAAAACACAGACACACACACACAGGCACGCCATGGGAACAGGAAGCTGCACGAACAGAGCTGCCTGTCTTTAGAGTCTAGAAATTAGCGCAAGCGCATTAAATTAATTAACTGAAACCGAAGTCTATCGATTGGCAGTCGAGCCTGCAACCTGCTAACTGCCGAGCCACTTGATATTTACGGCTTACCGATTCGAACCCGTTAAACCCTACATACCTTTACGAAAAAGCGCTAGTGCCCGACTGGCATATACCCATTCTATAGGGACATACACAAAAACATATCGCACGCTGTAGAAGCCAAGCTTAACCCCGCTCTAGTTACGGGAAATGCATTCTTTAATGAATTCGGTGCTTATAGTCCGATCGTATTGCAACTTTCATTGCTTAAGTAAGGCATACAAGAGTATACCTATACCATATCTCAATGCTCTAACTTAAACAATGAGCTTTTTTCCAATTTCGGAAGACAAGTGAGAGCTATCCAAAAAGTGAAATATTTTAATTCTGTATATACTACAGCTCCATATCATGCTTGGCATATCTATCCCTTAAAATTGTTGAGTTATGTTTAGAAAAACGATCTCAAAATCAATATTTATCGATATAATAAAAATTGGAGATAATATTGTACAAAGGTTCGTCAAGCTGATTAAGAATTGGTATGCCTTAAGGTGTCTGCCATTTGCTGAAAATCAATATACCCTCCTTCCCAAGTTCAATTGCTTGAGGGCATAAAAACCTTCCGAAACCGAATGCCAAACCCAAAGCCAGCCAAGTTTTACGACTGCTAAACTACCTGCTGGCAGCCAAGCCCCAAGTCAAAAGTCGCAAGCGTTCTCATAATTGCAGTCGTAGTTGCAGTTGCAGTTGCAGTTGCAGTTACGTGACTAGGAATAGAACAGAGATCGATTGAAACTCAAGATTGAGGGGGGAGAGAGAGTGTGAGAGTGCGTCAAGACGTCGTAAAGACTCGTTCTTAGGAATTTTTTATATTCCCTGAATTTGTTTTTGCAAAAGTAATTCAAATTATTATAAGAGCGCAGCGTAGGTGTATTTCCTTATAAGTATTCGTTTATTTCTATCATATACCGAACCTATGCCAGACGCACAGAGCGTACGTCTGTTTCCATACCCATACTTATCTCTATTGCTCAGTCTAGCTATATATATATACATATATAGGTACAACTATCTAACCTATCTCTATTATAACTGCAAGCCCAAAAAATGTTGGTTATACAGTTCACGCACCCAGAAATGGATTTGAACCTTGGTTCTTCATTTTTGCCGTTCAATTTCAAATGAAGCATTTGACTTTTTCACCCCTTTCGCTTGGGAAGCTGACTCCAGCAACAAATCTAGTTTTCTTGCTGTATAAATATTGATACCAAATCTTTATGCATATCTATATCTGCACATTTTTTTTTCTGTCTGATTGCCCAGCTCAACTAAATAGCTGAAGATAAATCACATATGTCATAAGTACATGTTGCTGTCTGTCCAACAAAGTAGCTGGCCATAAAATTAGTGTCAGTTCTTGCGCACTTGCACTTAGCCTCGTCGCGCGTCTCTCTTTTGGCCAGGTATTTTCTCTAATTGCTGCCCAGCCGCAATACACACACACACAGAACGCATACAAATACTGAATTATATTGCAGACAAGTACAAGTGCTGGCAGCTTATGAGCCTAGCCTGTCGGGGCAGCCCGGCATGAGCATTCATCAAAACACTCAGCAGACACATTTCCCCATTCGCGTGATAACCCAATGATTTCAGACATGCAGACACATATCCTCGGACAGATCGGACATGGGTGTAAAGACAATGCGCAAAACACTGCCGCTTGACGCACTCGAACCTGGATCCATTCAAACGGTAGCCGACACTTGGCTGGCACCCACTGTAATCTTTCGGACTACCTCGCCTAACCCGTTCGGCTCTAACTTGTTGCCGGGCTCGAGCCTCACTTTTAAGTTCGAGTTTCGAGTTTTCTGTTTTCTGTTTTGCTGCTCGGCAACTTTGTTGCACTTTACGTTCATTCGCTTTGCTGCCCACTCATCAACTGAAACCAGAAAGAGCCACCACGAGCCAAACACAATTGCCATTTGGCACTTCGCATCAAAGTTGCCTCTAGATGGTGACGCTTTTGGCGCCTATGCTCAATTTTTGCCCCCTTCCTGCACGGTTCAATTTGTCTTGATTGTGCAGCCAATTTTAGATATTCGCCTAGACAGAGACTACACGTGCCACAGCTCAGTCTGTCGAAAATCTTGTATATATTTTTGATGTGTTTCGCTTTTCTTCTTTTTTAATCAATTAAATTTCTTTTTTTTTTTTTTTTTTTTTTTTTTTTTTTTATGGTTTAAGTTACTTTTATTTTTGCTAATTTTCTGTTACTTTTCACTTTTAGCAACTTTTATCAGCGTGAGTTAATTAAATTTCAATTTTATTTAAATTAAGTAAAATTGTAAATAGGAATATTTGCGACAATTAGTAAATCAAAAAGCTTTTACCGTTTCTAATCTATTGTACACACTGTTTACAAGTAAAAGAGAGTATATTGGATTTTCTGAATTTTGCAGATCTATTTTTCTTTACAGTTTAAGAGTCACAAACATAAAAATAATAAAATAAGCCTTCAAATTTTGGCAGTTCACTTAATGATTATCTCTTACTCTTCATTTTACAGTTTTAATAGTGCAGTTTGAAAGCCACAGACGTTTTGACAGTTAGCTTTTACTCTTTCTCAGCCACTGTCTCGCAGTTACAGCTTGAACATTTGAATCAGATTGTCTTCAAGCATAATACAGTTTAAGAGCCACTGTCTAGTTGATACAGTTTTAGAGTCACAAACACAATTATTAATTAGAATAGGTAAATGTGGCATATTCTACTGTTACTTTCACAGTTTTAATAGCACAGTTTTGAAAACCATTGGTTTGGAATTACAGTTTTAGAACCACAAGCATTAAAATAGTCGGCGAGACTCTTTAAAATTGGTAGCTCAAGTTATTCTTCAGTTTAAATTACAGAGCGTGCAAACCACCGCAAAGCTTTAAATTAAATTATTAGTATTTTGAAAAATTTGTATTTTTAATTCGAAATGTATTCTTATATTTTTACAGTCATGTGCTGTTGTTGACAGCCTCAATGCTGCGGAATAATTGATTATGCAATGTGATACCAAGGAATTGTCAATTGGCACAGAGTAAACAATTAGTGGCACATCTTCTGGCCAAAAGGGCGGCCACCGACTGCTGGCAGCTGTCCAGAGCTGTTTCCCTTGCTTTGCCCGGACTCGGGACTGCCACAATAAACAACTGCAACTTGATTAGGCCTGTTGCAGGCTCTGCTGCCCGGCTGCCTCCATGTGTGTACGTGCCCAGAGTCGAGATGTTGGTAAGTACTGCCTGCGCCGCCCTCTATTAGTGGTTGCATTGTGGACTCTTAAAGTGACAAAACACTTAGTTGCCAGACTGACAACAATGTCGGCTGTGTGCCAATTTTTTCCTTGCTTTCTTTTCTGAGGTATTCAATAAATGAAGCATATGTATGAATTTTAATAGGAAAAATAATCTTGAATGAAGTACCAAAATACTTGTTACAATAAACTGCACACTTGAAATAAACGTAAAACTGTCGCAATTGAAGTACAACTTGGTTTGAATAAATTTCGGTACAAAAATTGTGTTCTTGGCATTAGAATTTGGTTTGGTTTTTAGACAATTTTTGCTTGTTGCTTGTGCTGAGTATAAAATTGTTGATTTCTTGTGAGAATAATTATTAATTATTAATTATTAATTATTAATTATTAATTATTAATTATTAATTATTAATTATTAATTATTAATTATTAATTATTAATTATTAATTATTAATTATTAATTAATAATTAATAATTAATTATTAATTATTAATTATTAATTATTAATTATTAATTATTAATTATTAATTATTAATTATTAATTATTAATTATTAATTATTAATTATTAATTATTAATTATTAATTATTAATTATTAATTATTAATTATTAATTATTAATTATTAATTATTAATTATTAATTATTAATTATTTATTATTCATTATACGTTATTCACTATTCATTATTCATTGTTGATATTTATTATTCATTATTAATTTATCATTATTCATTTTTATTAGTATAATTATTATTAGTTTTGAGCCAAACTTTTGTATAGCAATAGCTTCTATTGGCCTGTTAGCTAAGAAATGCATATATCCCACTAGCTTAAGGGTTGAAGTTGAAGTACCCGGTTACTCGTTGTTCTTAACTTGATATTAACGGTATTAACGGTCGAATGGAAATCTTTAGCACTTACCCAGTGGCACATTCTTGCGTGTGCTGGACACGGAGATGGGCAGAACGGCGTTACCCGATGTGGACGATGGCGATGGCGATGATGAGTCGCACGAACCCTCCAGGGACTGTGCGGGTGTTGGCACCGTGGACATGTGCTGATCAGCGCTGGTTATGACGCTAATACCACCGCTGCCGGCGCCTGCTCCGGCCGTGCCGTTGCTTGAGGCAGCTGCAACATTGTTGGAGCTGGCGCCACCGGAGCTGCTGGTGGCTGCGCCCACACTGCCGCCATGATCGCTGTGTGAAGGAGATCGTAGCGATGCCTGATGCGGCTGCGGCTGTGGCTGCTGGTGGTTGCTGTGGTGGTGGTGCTGCTGGTGCTGATGTTGCTGCTGCTGGTGGTGCGCCTGCTGTTGTTGCACCACTGAGGCGACGGCGCTGCTTGCAATGTGAGCGTGATGCACATGGGCGTGCGCATGGACGTGGCCATGCAGACTGCCCGCAGAGCCGTTGTGGGCAGCAGCTCCAAGATGCGATGGCGGCTGGGGCGGCGGTGCAGCTGTCACTGCCGTCGCTGCGGCCTGCTGCTGCTGGTGGTGCAACACATGTGCATGATGGCCATGTCCGTGATGCCCATGGGCGTGGCTGTGGGCGTGCGCGTGCACGTGATGATGATGCCCATGATGACTGAGCAGGGCCGCTGTGGCGCCCGCTGGCGGCGGCACCTCGTGCATGTGCAGCGATCGCTGCTCGTCCTGCGCCTGAGCGCGCCGGAGCGCCGTCTGCAGCGCCATCACGCGCTGCCTATCGGCGGTCAGGCGGCACTTGTCGCAGGTGCAATAGCGGTACTTGCAGTACCGCTTGTGGCCCTTTAATGTGATCTTCAGCCCGTGGTTGCGACAGCGCGCACAGTTCGGCGGCGTGCGTGGCGATATGGAGCTGCCGCTGGAGCTGGACGCGCCGCCGCACACATCATTCTTTGAGTCGATCATGTCCGAGTCGGACATGGTGTCGCTGTTCCAATTCTCCTCTGAAACCATGCCAAATGGACAAACACTCTGTGTATTTTAGCTATGCTCAATTTGTTTGTGCGCGCGGCGTAATCCCAAGTATTTTATTTAATTGGCCTTCAAACTTTAAGCCTCGCAGCAATTGGGTAGCATTTTTCCATTAAATTGAATAGTTCATATTATTATTTTAAATATTTTAGTTGGTTGATATTAATTAATCGCTTAATTAGTGTGTGCTTTTTTTGTGTTAATATATTGAATAGATTTTAAGTTGATTTAAGAATTTAATTTGATTGATAATTTAATTTAATTCCGTTTTTAATAGATTAAGTATTGTATTTTTTTGTAATATTTCTATAAATAGCGTGGAATTAGTTATTGATGTGCGTAATTGATTTGTGTTTTTTTGTTGTTTTTAAATTCTTCTTTCTTTATATATTCAAATTGTTTTCGTGACGTTTAAATATTTTGTTTATTTTTATATTAATTTCAATATTATTGCCTGCAAAGAAAAGACAAATACATGATTTGTTTAAGCTTTTGCACTAGATAAAGTCAATATAAAAATATCCAAAACTTTTTTTAAATTTTGTTGTACTGATTTTCGGGCCTGAAAGTACAACAGAAAAGTATGTATGTTGTTTTGGACAATATTTAATTTAGTTAAACAATTCTTTTATGGCTAGCCGCATATATGCCCAGCCTCAGACCCCGTTTCCCCTCTAGAAAATAGCGCTAATTCCGCGATGATGAAAAAACTCTCTTTGAGTGGCTGCTGATGTAATCGATGGAGGGGGAGGCGTTCAGGCAAACAGTTGTGCAATTTGGCCAATTATTCTAGAGAAATAATATTTCGTATAAGATGAAAGTTTTGCCTATTGGGATGCTATTTGGACGCTGTTCGACACGCTTCGCTTGCATTGCCAAACAAATTGCATTTGTTTATTATGCCCGAAGAATTTTTCCAATATTTAGCCAAACAATTTTTCACGCACTTTTAAGCGGCAATTGTGTGGGAGCTTTTCAAACGATTTTTCTTTATATTTCGAATTTTGTTCTTGTTGCTAATTTCAAAATAATTCAAGCTAAAAGTTGAAATTTTTGTAGCCTGACATGGCATGTAGCTGGGCAATTAAAACAAAATAAAAAATGGTCAAAAATGTTGTTTAATTGATAATCTTTGAACAGTGACACGCCTTTCGGCACCAAACAGAGCAACAAATGTTTAAACAAACATCAGCTGATGTAATCTTATGTTCTAAATATCGGCTACAATTTATTATTTATACAGATACTTCCAGAATTGTCTGCCAATTATCTAATCCTCCAAATATATCTAAGTTACTGGCTCGTATGTCGCATTTACTAATGTGAATTCACACGGGCAATCATTCGATGCTTCATAATATTAATTATCTATTTTTATTTGAAATAGAGCTCAGCATGGTTCACGCAAACTATTTAAAATATTTTAAATATTTGGTGGAACAAATTTCCAAATAAAGTATTAATTTTTATGTAATTAGTAGAAAGGAAAAATTTTTTTTATTATAATAAGCTTACGACATTCTGAATCAAAGCAGAATGTTTCTCAAAATGGGGTCTGGACTTGACGCTTGTGTTTAGAAAATTTAGTATTTAGAATAAAGTTCTTGGATAATAAAATGCCTTCTTAGTTAAACTAGTTTAAGTTATATATTATATATATATTATATTTCTCTCTTCTTGATAAGGAAAATATATAAAGTAAAGATGTATTAAATTGTATAAACTTTTATGGGAATATCTAGAAACAGTATCATTTCAAATCTGTTCCTTATGTTTATATGGAATAGTCTTGATTCACTTAGGTTATTGCTTTACCTTATATCAAGTATGCAGATTGCAAAATGTTAATAATATTTATGTTATATTTATTTAAAGTTGGGAGTATATGCGATTATTTTTGGAATATTGAATTAACGTTTAACCGACTTTTAGACATGAAGTTTAAATTTAAAGTGTTATAAATATATGTATATATATTATTATTAACAATTACGCTTATATTTATGCGTAATAAATTTTAGTATTCGTATATTAGTTATTAATTTATTTGCAGCACTTTTTATGCAGTTAATATTGTCACAGAACAAACAAAAAATCACTTGAGATCTTTTTTGCGAGCGATCGCCGCCGGCAAAACACGCACGACAACAACAACAACAACAAGCACGACAGCGACAAACACGGTAAACGATACTTGATAAACAAAAAGAAGAAGGAATTAATTCAGACAACTGAAGAAATATATATGATCGATCTGTATGTTTAGCAGGGCTTTTCCTTTATGTGTGCACACTTTGTGACGGAGGTTCGCGATTCGCGCGAGCTGAGCTTTTTTTTTTGCTGCTACTGCGGCTGCGACTGCGACTGCGACTGCTGCTGGTGCTGCTGTTCGATCTGAAATCTTTGGCGTGCGCAAGGCAACTCACATTGGGCCCCAAGACGCGGATGCGAAGAACTCAAAAATCGTTGAGCGCAGCAGGCAGCGAATTTCCGCATGTGTTTGTGTGAGTTCGTGTGTGTGTGCGAACGAATTTCTCTGTGTGTGTGTAATGTTTGGCTCTGTTTGCTTGGGCCCCGAGTGCGACCAGCGACTGAATGCAACGGACGACGGCAACGGTATCAAAGCCCAGAGAGCGAATGACGCTGCCGTCGACGTCGCTGCATTTGGAGAAATGCTTTTGGGGGCTGTACACAGGCACACACAGACACTCACACATACAAACACGATTGCCCCTCTCGCAAGCTGGCAAACACACACGCACACTTGCAAGCGCGCCCTTGTACATAGGCAGCCTCACACACATTGGCTGGCTGTCACACTGTCATTGTTGCTGTTGTTGTTCTTCTTCACGTTGTTGTCGCTGCTGCTGCTTTCGCCGGCGCTGCACTTTGTAGTTGTTTTGCTTTTGTTGCTGTTCGCTGTTGCAGTTTGATTCGAATCTGTTTCTCGCAACTTGTTTGAGTTCGCGCCGGTTGCAGTTGCAATACGCAGTATTCTTTCTCCTAGTTGTTTGCCCGTTTTGCCGGCATTTCTTCGCTTTTACATTTTTTATTGTTATTTTTACGTTTATTCTGTGCTTTCTTTTTGCTTGTGAAGTGGGCTTTCATTGCATTTGTTTTGGTTATTTGTTCGCGACATTGGGGCGAATGAGCGATGCAAATTATAATGGACATTCAAATGGTACGATACTCGTATCAAAGTTATGTACTCTTTAAATTTTTTGTAACGCTAAGGTATCTAGATATTCTGGGATATCTTAGGATATTATAGGTATTTATATAAATCCCCTTCCACCATCGGTCACACGTTAGAAAAGATCTGATTTAATCCACAAATCTCTTTTGAAATCTTTCAGCTGAAACTTCAAATGATGGGCGATGGGAGGGGACTAAGTATAATATTGGTACTAGGAGCTAAGCGAGCCGTTCGTTAGTAGAGTCTTCACTGTACGATACGATATGGCTTTCAGTGCAGCGATCGGTGAAAAACGTTTTTGTTGTGTGTATTCAGATTAAATACATTTTGCACTCTGCTGTGCACTAGGATGATTCATGACGCTGCACTTACTTCTCGGGACAATTGATCAGAGCAGGTTACAAAAGTATCTAGAGAGAGAGAGAGAGAGATAGGGAGAGAGAGAGAGAGAGAGACAGAGAGAGAGAGAGAGAGAGAGAGAGACAGAGAAAGAGAGAGAGACAGAGAGAGAGAGAGAGAGAGAGAAAGAAAGAGAGAGAGAGAGAGGTGGAGCGTAGACAAACTCAAATACTCGAGAGCGGGCTCTATTTGCTTGATAAGCTGCTGTTGCGATCAACAAATGTTTATAAATAATTTCAGTCTTTAAATAAATGACAAACGGCAGCAGAGGAAGCTCTGCAAAGAGTTGGCGTTTTATTTGGGTAAGAGCGCGTTAATTGTGCATGAAAGATTCGCGATAACGAACGTATATAGAGCTCTTTTATTCTGTAATTTATACCGCCCATCCCCTTTTCAGGCCCACTTTTTCAGCCACGGCAAAATGCTGTTCCTACGTATTTACACGGGGCAGACGATCGCCTATCTCGCATGTCGCAGCTAATTTCTATTCGGAGCGCGAGTGAGTGCTGCTTGGGGAGTCACAAATAACAATTTCATTTAGTTAATTACGTGTCGAACTACCGCGTAGAGCAGTTGGGCCACGCTCATTTGGTGCGTGATCTGCCAATGGATCGACCCCATGCGATGATAAAATGATAACATTTTAAATAAACATGTCGAGCGCTACGCTTCACTGTGATTGCCAGCGGGGCCACGTCCCATCCCAAGTCAGCAGCAAGTCCAGCCCAGAACTAGTTAGCAGCTTATGCAGATCGTTATGTGGACTCGATATGGGCTGGTCTACCCTTTGATTGAATCACATTTCGATTCCTTTGTATCAAAGAGCTAAGCAGTGTATTGAAGATTAGTTAATCAGAGAAACTGGCTACAGATTTGCGCAGCTTTCTTTTATAATCCAAGCAATTGGCTTTAAAATACCCTGTACACCATGCAAATGTGTAACATTGAGCATATTGCAGTTTTTCAAAGGCGGAAGCTGGCATCTTCAACAGGCTGCTCGACTTATTCATATCTGTCAATTTATTCAGATTGGGGGATGTAACCAACCTCCTCCCTATTGTTTTTCAAAATGAAAAGCCTAATGTTATTAAGCATATATCGGATTTAATAAGACCTAGAATACATTTCTCAAAAATATTTTTATATTTCCAATAAAAAATCAAATAAATAAGTTATAGCCTTCGTTTTTCGAATATACACAAATTTGAATGCCAATCTTTATTTTAAGGGTCACAGTCTTTGGCAAGTATGAAGATTAGTTGTCCTTTGGCTTTAATTCCCAACTGATCTTAAAGTCATTTTTGATCTAATCTTGGGACTAGAAATGCAAGGCATTTAACTTGCTTGCAAATAGATTGCCTTTATATCTGGCCCAGATATAGCGCTAGATCCCTGTGGGTGCTGGTCAGATAACTAGACCTCAACTGTTTACATATCAAGATTGGTATAGACTGACATTTATGATGGGCAACCACTAACGTTGAGCGGGCTGTGTGAGGATTGCCGCAGCTGAAGCATAACGCAACATTTACTTACCCAAAGACTGGCCGCAAGGTGAGAAGCCATAAATTCTTCAGCCAAGGCGCGATCCGAGGCGCGCTTTTCTTGCATAACCAAAGAGAGAGTTCGGGCAAGAGACTAAGAGCGCGATGAAG